GTTGCTAGCCTGCCTCATGCCCAACCTTTCCTCTTTACTGGCATTTTATTACTGGTTTGGCGAGGTAAAGGAGTGCGTCGGTGGCCGGGGATCGAACCCCGGACCATGTGCATGGTCGGCGTACATACTAACCACTGTGCCACCGACGCATACAAATGATATTCATAGTCTGCGTATATATATGCGATATACACAGTTCCGGAGGAGGGGTTTCCATTGGAAACACAAATTTATCAGACCACGACGCTTTATGATCTGCTTGATGCCCCCCCATAAATGGTAGGCAAAGAAGCTAGGATATTTGTATAAAACGTCATTCCACTGACCCATCAAAATGATTAGTTGTAGACCATAACTCATATCAACCAGATAAGTGCTTACAAATTGTAAAAAAAAATTAGATTTAAGGTATTACCAGTTCCCCTATGTAGCTAGCTAGTTTGCATTTGTAAATGTCCAGACAGAAATAAATGTATCATGCATCAGATTTTCCATAATTAGTGGGAACACACAATAAGAAAGAATATATTATCTGTACATGCGAAAAAAGGCTCATGTTTTTTACTTCACGGCTCTTTATTCAACAGCTAATAGTCCAAATTTTAAAAAAATTGCATAACCTGTTATCATTCCACCGTACTTAAAAGCTATTTCAAATCAAACAACGTTCAATAATTCTCAACATACACTAATGGAATAGAGCGATTTGTTGTGGTTTCAAGAAATCCTTCTTCTTCTTCTTCAGGCTCTACATTTATAAGTCCAATAATTTTGGCACAGAAAAGTTTCAGTAAAGGTAAATTAGAATTATGTGTGGTACAAGTACAAGATGGAATAAGAGTCAGTTGGTTTTGGGTGATCATTTAAAATATGTTTACTTAACTAGCACATGGGATGAAATGAGATGAAATAATTGAATGATGTGTGTAGTTAGTCCTCTTCATACCGAGTTGGTGAAACACAGTGTAAAGGATACTTTTGGATTTGTTGAAAGGATAAAAGATTCAAATGTTGACAATAAATTCATGATATCTTTTGACGTATCTTCCTTATTCACCAATGTATCACTTTGTATGCGAAGAACTCATAAGACGAAACATCGATATTGGCATTCCTATATCTTTTATGAAAGAGCTTCTCTTGAAATATACAATGAATGTCCACTTTTTATTCAATAAGGAACTGTATAGACAAATCAACGGTGTGGCAATAGGGTCACCACTAGGACCTATTTTAGCTGAAATATTCCTTCCGAAACTAGGAAATGGGCATTTGAAAGATGTTACTGATGAACTTAAATTCTATTGTCTGTATATGGATGATACATTTTTGATTATAAAAAATGAGAAGGAAGCAAAGAACATCCTGGATAAATTTAACGAGGTTCATCCTGCAATAAATTTTACTATGGAGAAATAAAAAGACTCTAGTATTGCATTTTTAGACATCCTTATGACCAGAAAAGAGAATGACACAATAAGAAGAAGTGTATATAAAAAACCTACATCAACGGGACGGTATACTCATTTTCTCATCTTCGGGCCCTTGAAAAACAAACGCAATCTGATAAAGTGCTTGGTTCACAGAGCAAGAGCAATTCGCTCGCGTGAATGTCTTGGTGAGGAACTTAATCATTTCAGCGGTTGCTAAGTGAAAATGGCTATCCAGAAAAGTTTATTGATAAGAATATAAATCTAAAATCAAAGCAGCCCAAGGTACCAACAGTTCCAAAACAGGCCTTATTCTTACAAATGCCGTTCCTTGGTGGCAACATCACTGAGACACTAACACAGCGCCTTAGAAATGCAATAAAAAGAGCATTCCCTGCTGCTGAATTACGCTGTGTTTTCAAAACCACTCCTCTTCTGCGTTCGATAGTAAAAGACAAACTGCCTAATTTCGCCTCTTCCATGTATATCTACCAATTTAACTGCTCCTGTGGAGCCAGTTACATAGGCCGTACATTTAGACGTGTTTCTCGTCGAATTTCCGAACATCACCCTGTGTGGTTAAGCAAAGGACAAACAAAATCTATTCGCAGTGCTATTCTATCTCATCTTGTGAATACAGAACACAAGATTGATGTTAACCATGCTTTCAGGGTCATTTACTGCATACCTACGAATCTTAATTTTGCCTTAAGAGTTCGACTACTAAGTATTGCTGAGGCTGTTGGAATCCACTTTAAGAAGCCTAATTTGTGGGTCCAAAAGAAGCTAGTTCAGACATTATCACTACCTTGGCCATTCAGGTTCGAATGATCCTCAATTTTTGTAGAAATTTCCCTAATTTCAGTTAATATTCTACTTGCTAGCTTTATTATTATAATTTAAGCATCTTTAATGAACCATAATTCCATTGATCTTACTTTACAAATCGATATTATTTAAAAAACACTGATATCGTTATTGACTACTAATCTAGAAGATTCTATGTATATAAGCATATATATAATTGTAGATCCAGAAGAGGAATTTATCGAAAAGGATATTCTTTGCTCAAACATTTTGTGTTTTATAAAAGTACAGGTCTCAAGAGTGAGTTTAGTCAATATTGTGTGAGACGGTATGAGAAATATACCAAAAAATGGGATACGCTAAGCGAAAGTTCATAGGTGACAATCAGCAATAATAATAACGATGGTTTGGTGTAAACATCAAAGTATAACGGCAGAAGACAACAGACTTGGTAACGCATGATTTATTTACTATGTAGCAAAATTACGTACACCTTATCGTCAATGCACTGACTGCACAGATCTTCCATGCTGTCCTATTTCTGACCCTCATATTGTGTTTCTTTGCGTTCCTTTCACGTCTCCCATGTATCTTCTCAACACGCTGTATCATTACTTTTCTCTGACGTCAAGCCTATCGCCCTGCTATTTGATGTTTTTATGCCGACGAACGTCTCCTCATATACTACTGATAAATCTTATCAGTAGCACACGCTACAAAAATACGCAATAAGAAAGTTCATGAAGTAGTAAAAGGTCTGAAGGAAAAGTTCATCCATGAAACGAAGGTAAAATGAGGCAAAAAACATGGGATAAAAGTACTGATGTTTATGAAGGATACTTCAATCCTTATTGTAGGCCAAGGTAAACATGGCGGTTGAACATACTTCTTCATCTGTATAGAAAACGAAGTCTTCTGGTATTGACTACCACTACCACAGGTACTGACTGAAGAAGTAGACCAGCTGCTTAAGATAGATTAACATGAACACTCGATAGATAATTGGGAACACCTGCTCTGGCTTTTCTAAGTGTTCAGTGCCTACCTAATTGGTTAAGACTGCACTGCTTATGCATTTGATTTCCTCTTTACCCAACAAAACTCAACAGTACACATTCGGATAAAGCCCTCTAAATACCATCGAAGTAACTAACCCCGTATGAGTAGTTGCATTCATAGGCGTACACTGGCGAGGCGCTCATTGGTAATTCATCCTTGACACACTGTGTTAGTACTGGTTTAATTGCATTATGTCATCTCATATTATTTCATGTTCCCCACTGACTATACATATTCTGAATGATCACTGAAAACTAACTGACTATTATTCCATCTTGTACTTGGACCACACATAATACACTTTCACGCTAATATGTGTGTAAAACTTGAGCACTTTGGTAGTAAGTAATTCCATTTTAGTTTGTTTATTATACGTATCACACAGTGAAACAGTATTATTTACTGGATGTCACAGTTTCAAACACAACTTATTTTTGTTCATAATCATCTCATCAATTATAATCACACGTCTTCGATACTTTTGTTAATATAGTTTTCTTTATTCTCTCCTATTCGTCGTAGTAGGGATAGTAGAATTTTCCAGATGTTCAGCTGGACAGGTGTTGAATCATTCCTATTACAAGTATTTGCAGTTGATTCGATAAACAATGATTGTCAGGTCAAATACATAGGGCAATCTAGTAGAACAGGAACAGTCAGACTAGCCGAACATAAAAACTTAGCAAAATCTAGATTGGTTGACCTGAATAAGATGAGAAATATAGAGAATAGTTCAGCTATACCACTCACTGCATGCAATCACACACAACCATACAATAGGATGGATGGGATAAGATGACAGTTTTAAAATCTAATGTCACAGGATGGATGGAGAGATTGATAACAGAAGCTTTGTTTATCGAATCAACTGCAAATACGTGTAATAGGAATGATTCAACACCTGTCCAGCCGGACATCCGGAAAATTCTACTACGCCTACGACGACAAATAGGAGAGAACAAAGAAAACTATAAACTCCGATTTCGAATTCGTGTGATTATAATTGATGAAATGATTATGAACAATAATAAATTGTGTTTGAAACTGTGTCATCCAGTAAATAATGCTGTTTCACTGTGTGATACGTCTAATAAGCAAACTAATATGGAACACTTTCACGCATAATTCTAATTTACCTTTACTGAAACTTTTATATGCTAAAATTATTAGACTTATAAATATAGAGCCTGAAGAAGAAGAATTTCTTGAAACCACAACAAATTGCTCTATTCCATCAGTGTATGTTGAGAATTATTGGACGTTGTTTGATTTAAAATAACTTTCAAGCATGGTGGAATGATAACAGGTTATGCAATTTTTAAAATTTAGCCTGTTAGTCGTTGAAAAAGCCGTGGAATCAGTAAGAAAGCGGAAAAATTACCGCAATCTTAAAAAATATGAAATTCTGCTAATTGACTGCAATCTCATTACGTCTATAGTCACACCAGAACCAGCCCAAGGTTTGATCTATGGGCCTATACACACGTGAACCTCGCTTAGTTGGAAGTTATTCCGGTGAAGAGGAAAGGTTGTGGACCGTAAGGTTAGCAACCGCAACCCGTAAAAGAGAGAATGAAACAAACACCACAGTTACTGAAACTCCAAAGCACCAACTTGAAGCCCAATGTTATCACTCGTAATACAGAGATATGAAATAAATAAAATACTGATATATTTTTACTATATATAAGCAAATATACCTACCTCAGTAAGCGCTCTCCACAGATCTTCATGAACAGTATTTTTATATTTATTCTGATACAGATAATTCTTTCAGAAAATAAAATAATAGAAAGCAAAATGATTGCAGCATATCATAAATCTGTATGTATATACAATATACATTTAATAAAGAAACCTTAGATATGTTTGCATAAACAAGTGATTGTAAGAAATGCTATTGCCTTTATAAGCTTTTTCAATTTCATTTTGATAACATCTCTATTCGCTCTTTAAATATGACTGTTATAACAGAGTGTTTTCGATAAAAAGAGATTTAGACACTATAGAAATAAATATTTACTTTCACCCTAGATCTTGATTACATGTTAAATAAGCGTAAAATAAATATACATCATCACATGCTTCTCTAATAAATTATTATTATTTCCTTTAATTCATAGAGCAACAAAGGGCTTCAACCGCACGTCTCCATTGTGTTCGATTCCCTGTCAGCGTTTTCACCTGGTTCCAAGTCTGCCCACATGCTTTCATCTCCTCTTCACATGACCTCCTCCAAGTCACTCTTGCACTGACGACCAACTCGCCGCTTCCCTTTCGGGTTCCACTCGAGCAATAGCTTGTCTAGTGATGTCACTTGATGGTTTCTTCCTGCTTATTTGTTGCACAGTCAGTTCCTGCTGAGTTGGTTCACTCCCAGAGATCCCTCACTACTGCTGATCTTTTCTGGCCATCTGATCTTGAGTATTGATCGAAGACAGCTGTTGATGAAGGTGTGTAGTTTGTTTGAGATGCTCTTTATCATGCGCCAAGTCTCTGATCCATATAGTAGCACTCATTTCACAATGGATTTGAAAATCCGGATCTTATTCTTCATGATGAGTGGTGTTAACGTCCACACAGACTTAAGAGTGATGAAAGCTTGTCTTGCTTTCCCGATCCTCACGTTGATATTCTCGTCATTCCCGACTGTAGTTGAAACGATGCTTCCCAGTTAGGTAAAGGAGGATGTTTCTTTCAGATTCCTCCCATTTATGCTAATTGTTGTCTGTTGTTATTGTTGCTGATGCTGTTGGCCAGGAATCTTCATCACCTCTGTCTTCTCTGTGTTCACGTGAAGGAAGTCCTATCTTCTCTGAATGCTTCTTCTGCCAACCTGTTGCTTTTCACTTGCATATATTCCAGTTTGCGGGAGATCAGACATATATCATCGACGAAGTCCAGATCCTCCAAGTGTTTTGTATTGGTTCAATTTATTCCTGTTTCCTCGCTGCCCGCTGTCTGTCGCATTTTCCATTCTACTGCAATCAGGAGAACCATTGGAGATAGAAGGCAGCCAGCCAGCCTTTTCCTACTGCTGTCTTCACTTTGAAGGATTCCATGAGTTTCCCATTGTAGATTACTTGGCATGCAGCAATTTCGTGCAACTGTTGCATGAGGTGAATAATTGTTGGCATCACCCGTAGTAGAGAAGTAGTTTCCAAATCACCTCTCGACCGACGCTGTCTGCTGAAGGCCTTTGCAAAGTCGATGAAGTTGAGTGAGGTAGAGAGGTGACTGCCATTCCAAGCTCTGTTCAATGATGATCCATAATGTGGCGATCTGATCAATGCATGACTTGTTTTTTCTGAATCCAGCCTGTTCCGGTCGAAGGTTTTAATCCAGGGCCTGTTTAATTCTCTTCAGTATGATGGGGCTTAGTATTTTGCTTGAGGTGGATAGGAGTATAATGCCGCGCCAGTTCTTGTATTGACTTAAGTTTCCTTTCTTTGGCAGTTTGAATAAGTAGACTTTCTTCCAACACTTAGGTACCTTGACCTCTGTCCATGGTATTTTTTCATATATCCAAAGGCAGCATATGGTTAGTCCTATTAGCGGTAAGGAAGATTTCTTTTTTAGGTTATTCAGCCTATTAGTTAATACTCTATAGTTGGTTTGTAAGGGTTAGTTTTTTTTTTTTACTAGTTGATCACGGATTGATATCAGTTACAGAACCATTGGAAACCACCCACAAGGAGAACTGGACAGCTAGCTGTTTCATCCTGGTTTTAGAAATCATCGACAGTACGCATCCACCTGCTGGGGTTCGAACCCAGGACCTTCCGGTTACAAGGCAGGCTCGTATACCATTCAGCCACTTGGACACGATTCGTGATTTAGCGCGAGTGGCGCCAACCAATATCGTCATGAAGATTCACAGCCTGCGTTTGTTCATCTTTAATTCTAATAATACTGTTTGATTAAGGTGTCTGAACTACAATTTTGACATAATTTATCAGCGCGTTTGAACTACCGATTATTATTCTCTTAGGTACTCAGTGGAACAAAGGGTTTCAAAAGAAATATCTCCGTTTTACCATCTTGTCTTCAGTTTTCTATAGCTGTCCGCATGACTGACAATAACCTTTCATCTCCTACTCATACAGTCTCATCCATAATACCCTCAGGCACACACTCAACTTGTCTCCTCAGTGCGTATCGAATCCATCTCCATTTATTTAATAATGGTTTCTTGATGGGTTCGTTTCCAGAGTCTCTTGTAGTGGACCTACACTACACTTATAATGTCGTCACCAATACTCACCGCCATTGCAGACTTAGCGGCAAGGCTTGACAAGTTGGAAACACATAGATCTGATCGACGAGTCGAGAGGCGGAGTTCACAAGCACGGTCACAGTCACATAGAAGATCTCTCTTCCGGCAGCGGTCCCGAATGTCTTCTAGGGACAGTAATATATGTTGGTATCATAGGAAGTTTGGACGTCATGCCTTGAAATGTGTCAGACCGTGCATCTTTAGTGAAGAGAACCAGGCTCAGGGGAAACGTCTCAACCAGACAGTGATGGCGACAGCTGTTACTGGCAACCATTCAAGTCGCCTTTTCTACGTGAAGGACAAAACCACAGGCACATTATTCCTGGTAGACACAGGAGCCGAAGTTAGTGTAATACCTCCTTCACTCTCCAGGCGATCTTCTAGCACAGCTGCAAAACTCTCACTTCGAGCAGCTAACCAAACTAGCATACGGACTTACGGCGAACAATCACTTATTTTGGATCTTGGTTTACGTCGTCGATTTACATGGATATTCATAGTAGCTGACGTTAGTCATGCCATATTGGGTGCCGATTTTTTAAGCAATTTCAATCTGCTGGTTGATGTCAACAAGAAAAAGCTGATTGATAACTGCACCCAGCTTCAAGTCCACGGAATCATCTCAAACTACTCTGTTTATAACATATGCATCGAGAAGCCAGATGACTGCATGTTCTCTGCATTACTGCATCGTTTCCCAAAAATTTTAAAGCCATCTTATAATATCGAAGATGTTCCTCATTCTGTCACGCATAAAATTGTCACAACTGGTCAACCCGTCAGAGCACGTCCTCGTCGACTACCACCTGACAAGTTAGCAGCAGCCAAAGCTGAATTCGAACACATGATGCAATTGGGCATCATCCGGCCATCCAACAGTCCCTGGTCCTCACCATTACATATGGTACCAAAAGCTGAGCATGATTGGCGACCGTGTGGGGATTACCGACGTTTGAATAACGCCACTGTTCCAGATCGTTATCCCATTCCCCACTTGCATGATTTCTCTCTAACACTGCAAGGTAAAACTATTTTCTCCAAAGTGGATTTAGTCAGAGCTTATCACCAGATACCAGTTGCTCCAGAGGACATCGAGAAGACAGCCATTATAACACCTTTTGGCTTGTTTGAATTCCTACGAATGCCTTTCGGGCTGAAAAACGCTGCACAAACTTTTCAGCGCTTCATGGATCAAGTCACGCGGGGCCTTGACTTTGTATTCGTTTATATCGACGACGTACTAATTGCTAGCAAGTCGGAAGAGGAACATAAGAATCATCTTAGCACTTTGTTTCAGCGTTTCGAACAGTATGGTGTCGCGATAAATCCTAAGAAGTGCATTTTCGGTGCCTCTTCTATTCAATTTCTGGGACACTACATAACTGCCGAGGGAATCAGGCCTACTGAGGAAAAGATAGATACAATCAAAAACTTCCCCCAACCAGACTCTTTGAAGAAAGTCCGACAATTTTTGGGGATGTTTAATTTCTATCGACGTTTTATTCCTTCGTGTGCCTCTATCGTCCAGCCTTTAACCGATCTCCTTAAAAGTGATCCTAAAAAATTTCAATGGTCAGAGCAAGCACACGAATCTTTCTGCAACGCGAAAGACGCTTTATCTAAAGTCGCTATGTTGTCTCACATCAACCCCGACGCATCTCTTATCTTGTGTACAGATGCCTCCCAAGTAGCTGTGGGCGCGGTGTTACAGCAGAAAATTAATGGTGACGTTACTCCACTTGCTTTCTTTTCGAAGAGGTTAGAACCGGCTCAGACACGTTACAGTACTTTTGGGAGAGAATTGTTGGCTATATACCTAGCAGTCAAACACTTCAGTTACTTACTACAGGGTCGTCATTTCACTATTTTTACTGACCACAAACCTCTGTGCTATGCTTTCACCACTTCGCTGGATAAACACTCCCCAAGAGAAGCCAGACAGTTAGACTATATCTCCCAATTTTCAACTGACATACAATACATCAAAGGGGACGCAAACGTGGTAGCTGATTCTCTTTCAAGAGGTGATATACACCAGCTTGAAACTTCCGTAGACGTCAGTCTTGACCGGATGGCTCAGTTACAAAGAAACGACTCAGAACTTCGAAAGTGTCGCGAAAACTCTTCCTTACAGCTCAGGGACGTACCTATTCTCTTATCAGATGCCACTATAGTTTGTGATGTCTCTACCGGCACTAATCGTCCGTTTGTTCCTCTCCAATGCCGAAGAGCTTTATTTGACCACTTACATTCGCTCTCTCACCCTGGAGTACGTGCCACCGTCAGACTCATCAGCGAACGTTTCGTGTGGCCTAAAATGAACTCTGACATTCGGAGATGGGCACGAGAATGTCTCCAATGCCAACGCTCCAAAGTACATCGCCACACTATCACAACGCCAAAAACGTTCGATTTACCGGACAGGAGATTTCAGCACGTTCATATAGATATCGTAGGACCATTGCCAACGTCAAGAGGATATACACATATCCTG